TCGGGCGGAGCCGAACATTAAATACCCGGCGCAGGTACCGCTACATGGTAAGCCGGTGTGTATCAGTTTTGAGTAAATTAGCGTCCTTAAATTTCGAAATATTGAAGTTTCAAGCATTTCTGAAATTTGCCGTTAATGAAAAGTGGTCGTAATTTGAATCTGATTCCAATAATTTGCAACGTTTTGCTTCAATGTGGCAAGCACAATAATCATACCGAGTTTGGTACAAATTGGTAGAACGGTTACCGAGATACATATATGTGATCATAAGTGGGAGGTGCTACGCACATTTTCCAAAATTTTGTCATAAACGTATTTCTTGGTAAAGAATTGTTGCAAGCATAAATTTTGAGTAAATTGGCTTTAATATTTGCTGATTTATCGAAGAATTCGTATTTCTCCAAATTACCGTTATATGGGAGGTAGGCGTGGTTATTGTCCGATTTTAAAAATTTTCGGCCATTTGGTATGCTGTAGCAAGACTAACAACTGTACCAAGTTGGGGAGAAATTGGTGCAGCGGTTACCAAGATATACACATGTATCCATAAGTGGGTGTGGCTACGCCCATTTTCCAAAAATGTACAATATTCTTATTTTTCGTCTAAAGGTTATTGTAAATGTCAATTTTGAGTGAATAATCTTCAGTAGTTACTAAAATATCGCAGTTTTCGTATTTCGGAAAATTACCGTTATATGGGAGGTAGGCGTGGTTATTGTCCGATTTTGCCCATTTTCAATACCATCCGTCCTACGCCCGAAAGAAGTGCACATACCAAGTTTCGTTAAGATATCTCAATTTTTACTCGAGTTATCGTGTGCACAGACGGACGGACGGACGGACGGACGGACAGACAGTCACCGCTTAATCGATTTCTCTTTTCATTCTGATCATTTATGTATACATTTGTCTATATATATCTCGATTCGTTTTGCCTGTTACAAACAACCGTTATGTGAACAAAGTTATAATACCCTTGTGCAAAAGTGCGCTCGGGTATAAAAATTTTTTTTTTTGGAGCTAAAATTCGACCAATTTTGAATTTCGAATCTCGAGGCTTCGAATATCGAATTTAACCATCCCTAGTATATGTACGGTGGTGACCAGATTTATGTGGCCAAAAATCGGGAGATTTCTAAAGCATCATTATCCGAACATACAATTTCGTTTTTAGAATAAAAATACATAACATCTTTTAAAACAGTTTTATTTACAACAAAACAAAGAGAAGAAAACACAAAAAATGATCGGAAAAATGTATACACAAAATATATACGGAGGCGAGAATGTAAATAGGGAAAACACATTTTAGCAAGTTTTGGCTACTTTTCTCTGATTAAACAATTTTTATTATTTGTCAATGTTCTTGTGGCTTATTAACATTTTATTTTTAATATTTTTATTTATTTGTACCACGATTGTTTATTAGGAAAAATTTAAAAAGCAACAAAGTCTAAGCGGTAGAAGTTATAGCAGCTGATTTGCCGCTTGATAGTAGTTGGTTGAATAAGGAAAATGAATTAGCAGCAAGAGTTTACGGGGTGTACATAGCTCAGTGGTTAACGCTTCTGACTTTGAACATCGATTACACAGGTTCGATCCCTGCTGAAGTCTAGAAAAGAGAAGTCTGATGAGGAGATGTGGTGATCTCCGAAATAGCTGCTATAGCTTCTACCGCTTAGACTTTGTAGCTTTTTCAATTTTTCCTAATAAACAATCGTGGTACAAAGCTCAATAAAAATATTAAAAATACAATTTTTAATATTTTTTTATAAAAACATGACTTACTATCTAAAAAACATGTAACCAAAATTTCAAACTTTGTAGAACATGTATAAAAATTCGCCGAATCTTAACAAATGTAGATCAAAATTTTAAACATTTTAATCCGTTTTTCTAGAATTGTTTTCAGTATCCAGTTTTGCGGCCCATTAAATTTTGGTATAATAAAGTGAAATTTTTAAGTAGCTTGGACTCACCGTTACTTTTTGGCAATTTTGGTTCGCGAATTTTCTTCCATACAAAGTATGTTCAACGATTTCTTTGTATGGAGAAAATGAGCCACACCTTCCACACTTATGCACTTTGAATTGAATGGGCTACAAAACTTCATACTCAGGATGTTTTTTAAGAAATAATAAATAAAAAGCTCAAAATTTTAATGAAACTTTGTCCAATTTTGCTAAAGTTTTACAAAGTTTGAAATTTTGACTTACATAGTTTTTGCCAGATCACGAGCTACACTTTTATAAACAAATTATAAAAATTAAATAATCGAAAGGGGAAGAATAGCCAAAGAATGCAAAAATGTGTCTTCCCTATTTATATTTTCGACACTGTATCTACAGCTTATAATTTTCATATCCATGATTTTTTTAAGGAAATGACTTAATATTATTTTTTATAATTTCACTAAATTCAAGTTAGAATCGTTTCATTTAAAATAAAGCAATAAACTTAAAAAAAATTATAAATCCCTAAAAAAATGAGAAAAGAATGATAGACTGCAATACAGCTTGAGTTCAAGTTTAACAGAATAAAACATAACCAAAGATCATAGAAAATAGGGATTCTGGCTATGTTTACGGCTCCCTTATATTCTCTCTCCTCTGTGATAACGAAGGTGCTGCCACGTTTGTACGAAAAATTGTTTTTGGGCCAGAGTACACGGAGACTCTTATTAAATTAATAAATAAAACACTTAAAATCGGAACTTAATCGGTACGAATATGAAAAATCGGGACATTTATACGTCCCGACTTAAAAAAAAAATCGGAACTGTTCCACCAAAATCGGCACGAATGGTTTACGTAAGGACATATATGACCCCGAGAAAAAGTACGCCAGACGGAAAAAATTGCGGTATTACACAATTGAAATTTCAAACCATTTTGATTTAGATTTCATTTGTACATTTTTGTCAATAATTTCTTTTGATCCATTAAAATTTTAGACATTCCCAAATTATTACTTTAAATGTTTTACTATAAATACTTACCGGAAACCCATCCAGTGACCATGCGAATTGCGGTAAAGGATTACCAGTTGCTACACATTTCAATGATACAGTCGGTCCTGGCTGCAGTGTTTGCTCCGAAAACCAATAAAGCAATTCCGGAGAAGCGTCTAAGTAAAATAAAAAGCAAACATATATATGTAATTTCATTAAAGAATTATAATAAGATTTATCGCATTTCAACTGTACTTTTTCCGACTTTTTCGAACCAAAAGGTTCATTCGGTACACTGAACTCAATTTAGGCAGTGGCGGACCCAGGTAGGGTAAAAGGGGGAAATTCCCCCCCAAAGCAAAGTTCAAACTGTGAGCGTATATCAAAGAAACTCGAAAACTTACTTGCGGAGCGCGTAGATGTAACTCGAAGTGACTTCGAGAAGCTTGGGGAAAAAAACCTAACGAATGGATGCTTTGGAAAATTTTAATTCATGGAAAAAGTGTGTAAAATTTCTCTTGACTTTGAAATTTTAGCTGTGTGCTAAGCTCGAAGTATTATGTTATTTAATTAGGCCTATCAGTTTTTCGAATTCACTGAATTTTCAAAATGTTGAAATTATGTATGTAGATACTTAATTTTCAATTTTTACTTTTTTTGTTATATTTTCGAATTTTTATTATTTTACACAATTGAAAGTCACAGCGAGTTTGAATATTTTCAAAGGTTCAGAGAACAACGAAAATTAATATTATTAAATTTCTTGAGATTTCTTATTTTTAGAATAATTTCCAAAATTTCAAAAACTATCTAAATCCGGGAGATTCTAAAAATTTTGGTAAAATGAGAATATTTTGAAATGTACAAAATTATTGAGATTTTAAAAATTTTAATATTTTCCAAAATTTTGAGAATTTTATTTAACCTAAAATCCATCCTAAAATGTAAAAATGTGAAACATCACAAATTGTCGAAAAATTCTTATGTTCATGGTACTTATGTGTAAAAAATAGAAATTTCTTAGAATTCTAAAAGATATTAACATTTTTGAAAAATTCCAAAATTTTTCCACTTTTCGGAACTTTTCCAAAATTTTGTATTGATATAACAAAGTTTGATAATGTTAAATTTTTTGAAAATCTTGAAAACATCAACGTCCAAAAATTTTTTAAATCTTCAAGAATTACAAAAATTTTTTAAACTTTCAAAAACGACGAAATATGAAAATATTTTCAACATTCGAAAACTTTTAATTTCGTTTGATCAATTTTGTATATTCGACACTTTTACTTAGAAAAAATTGTTAGAACTCCTACAATTCTCAAAATTTTTGAAAAATAAAAAATTTCTAGAAATCTAGTATTCACCATTATATTGAATTATTGTGATTTACTAAAATTTCTCAAATTCACAAAGTTTTGAAAGTTTAGAAAATTTTGGAATTCCACAAGTTATTTAAGATGGGAAACTTCAAGAAATTCAAAACTATCAAAACTCTAAAAATTTTTAATTGCGGTGATTTTTAAATTTATATACACGATATATGTTGAAAAATCCTCCTAACGTTTTGAGGAATTTTTAGCAAAGTGGATACACTGCATGTGTTTCAATTTCAATTGGGAATGAGTTGAAAGTGCCAAAAAATATAATTAAAGGCGGAAATATCTGTAACCTGAATGTACTCTGGCGGGAATTTATTCTTGCAACGATGGATAGGTAGTAAGTAAAATTTTAACTCAAGTTCGGCGCCCACGAAGTACCACATAAGGTTTTGTATGAAAGGCCTGGTTTAGAAAATAGACCCAAATGCTTTATGTACGCAGTGCAATATAGGCCAAATAGAAAGCCTTGAGCTTCTGCTCTTCAAGTACCCTATTTATTATTTCTTTAGGGACTACTACCTAGGACCAACTCTATAAAAGTTTGAAAGCAATCCAATACATATATTCCAATTAGCCGACCAATTTAGTCAGCATGGTGTACCTCTATGTTGTTAACTGTTTGCGATTCAGAGCCAACATTTTAAATGCATAAATTGTGTAAACTAATGCCATTTTCTTATTCAGATAGTTATAGCTAGGGACAATTAGGTCACTTACACGTGTTGATTTTGGAAATATTAATTTTTCATAAAGGTAGCCGGGAGTCTTATCCATCATAAGACGAAATAGGAAAATACAATTTCTGGCTTTCAAGTAGTCAGAGATTTCACAGCCCAGCAGGCTTGCCCTCCAGGCAGAGATATGCTCAAATTGTGCTATCCCAAATACATAGCGCGTAATATGGTTGAAAGCTACCTCAATTTTATGCGCTGATTGAGAGTCTAGCTTGCTATAAACTAGTTCAGGATAGCATATTATCGGAAGTATAAG